CCCTTTCTTAAGTAAAAGGTAAAAATTAAAAAAGTGAAGTGTTGTTTGCTTCAGCTGAGTTTTAATGTCCCATGGGGGCTGGATTAAGACCCCTCTCTACTGTTCTGTTTGCCATTTTTCAGTTTCCTGTTAGGTAGTCAGGACCTGTTGAAGTTCCAAGCAATCTACCACTCCTCTGTACCTGTCTCCACAGGCTTGGATTTAGGCATGCAGGACACTCTGCCCACTTTGTTTGTCTCTCTGCTTTCAGTCATATTTACAGAAGCGTCTATTTCTGACACGGGCTCTAGGTGGCAGTGTTGCTTTATTAGTTTCTGAGGCCGCTAGGAGGGGCAGCTCTTCTGGAGAAAAATGGCTGTTTAGGGTTGGAGGGACCTGGCTGTCCCAGAGCTGGATTCCTGGTCGCCTCTCCCTGCTTTGCTCCTCAGCCTCAACCAAACCACGTCCACCTCGGAGTGTGTTTGTAATTGAAAGATCCTATGCACTGGGTTTAGCGAGTAAAAGTAAGGGCAATATAAAGATAGAGCAACCATGCTGCTGAGTGATTCTCTCCCCCTGGCACTGCATGGCCAGTATAGAACTTCAGGCTGCTTTTCTGGGTGCATCTTCCCATGGCTGTGGACTAAGATCTAAAGTCCCCCACTGCCAGCAGCCCTGTGGACCCCCTTTCACAGTCGAGTGTTACATGTGTCCCCACGGGACGCAGACTTGGTGCAGCGCAGTTTCCTTCTGACCCTCTCATCCCGGTGGTTGTGCGTTTCTCTTTCCAGCCCAGATCCCTGATCCTACCATTCTCCAGATGTCCTCTGTCCTTTCGGCCATGGATTATCTCACCAGCTGTGTTTAATTCGCCAATTCCAGGTGGATGTTACTCGATTCAGCTGTTTCTTCTATCTGCTCTCTGAGAAGGCGCAGGACACGTCTGCCTATTCGGCTGCCATTTTGTCTTCCCCCAGACAAACTTTTTAGGAGCCTGCGGCCGGGGAGGCTGGAATCTCGGTGTTCGTGGGTTCACAGCCGAGGCAGCAGGTCCCTGGCTGGTGTTGATGCAGGGTCCCGGGTGGTGTCCGAAGGCTCCCTGGGTGGAGGTGAGGCTGGGCTCCCAGTCACAGCAGCTCTCCCCTTCAAGATGGCACAGCTTCTGCAGCGGAGCCGGCCGCCCTGGGAGAGATTTCAGCGGTAAGAGAGGCCACCCAGCTAGGGGAGCCTGGTCCGCCAGCCCCCAAAAGTCCTGCGGAATATAGCTGTCTCTCATTCACACACACACACGCCCCACATGCCCACGCACTCCCCTTTTGCTCCCTCACTCACACTCCCTCCCTCACGGCTATCCTGTCGGCCGCCATCTTTGATTCTATTAGTTACATTTTAAGTGCTTAATGTCTGTATGTGACTAGCAGAGGATACCTGTTGCACAGCTCAGATAAAGAATATTTCTATCATCACAGGAAGTCCTGTTGGACAGCGCTGGTTTAGATCATTTACATTTAATTTAATTATAGATAGAGCTGGATTTAAGTCTATTAATTTGTTCCAGGTTTTTTCTTTAATTTTTTTTCTTACCCTGTCTTCTTTTGGATTAACCGAGTATTTTTATGATTGCACTAGAGGCCCGGCACACGAAATTCGTGCATGGGTACGGTCCCTAGGCCTAGCATGCAATCAGAGCCATCTTCCCCAGCTGCCTGCAGTCGGCCCGCCCCCCGCCACCACCCACCCTCAGTTCCCTGTTTGCCATCAGTTGATTGGAGCTGCCGACTGGGGGGAGGAACCGAGAGGTCGGCCATTCTGCCTGCTCGCCAGCCCTGCCCCCTGCCGCCACTCACCCTGTTTCCCCGTTTGCCATTGGGCAATTAGAGTCTGACAGCCGGGGGAAGGGACCAAGACATGGGCCATTCCCGCCTGCTCACCGACCCCGCCACGGGTTGCCCTCTGTGTGTGGGGTGACTGGTGGGGTGGGGGCCTTGGCCTGGCGCCACCCACATCCCCTGCCACCCACCCCTGGTTCCCTGTTCACCGTCGGGTGATTGGAGCCTGCCAGCCGGGGAAAGGGACCAAGAGGTGGTCAGTGTACCTCATGGTGACTGGTCGAGTGGTCGTTCCGCCATTAGGGTTTTGCATATTATCCTTTTATTTTATAGGATTTTATCTCCTCTATTGGCTTATTAACTATACCTCTGTTTTTAAATTTTTTTTAAAATAGTAATTGATGCAGGCTTTAACTGACACACACTACCTTCAAACTGTGCTATAGTAGTTCATGTATGACATGAACCAATAGGACTTCCTGTGATGATGGAAATGCTCTATATCTGAGCCGAGCAACAGGTATTTACTAGTCACATGTAGATATTAAGCACAGAAACATTGCATGTTCAGTTCCTATACATGTGCAGATCTAGTCCCCTTCCTATCCTTTGTGCTGTCATTATTATATGTTCTGCTGCTTCATGTATTATAAACCCTGTAATAATTGTTGTTGCTTTAAACATTCAGTTATATTTTCAAGAAATTTAAAAAAGCAAAAAATTCTCTCATATTTACTCATATTTTTACCTTTCCTGTAGTCTTCATTCCTTTTTGCAGATCTGAGTTTCCATTGTCATTTTCCTTTCTCTTGAAGAACTTTTAACATCTCATATAGTGTATGTCTGCTTACAAAGAATTTTCTCAGATTCTGAAGATGTCTTCGTTTTGCCTTCATTTGTAAAGGATATTTTCACTGGATATAGAATTTCTTCTGGAATTTTTTTCACACGCCCTTATCTCCAACTGACTTGTCAACCCAGTAAGACTGCCATTTGCATGTTAACCTCTATCTTTGTATAGCAGTGACTGAGCAGCACTCTTAGGAGAAAAGCTAGTAAGTACCATCTCACCTTATATAGTTTCCTTCTCTCAAGAGTCTCCCCTTCAGTGTCTGTCAACCTTTGGTTGCACTCCAGTTCCTTGAAAAAAAATTGATTATAATTATTATTAACGGGGAGGTTAGTGTTATATAATTACTCTACCATTACTGGGCGCTAGAACTATAGCTATAATTTTGTATTGTACTTTTTTCACTTAACTTCTTAACATAAGAATTAAAGTATTCCTTTTTCTGTGGGAGCCATTGAGTTGAGAGGAGTGTAGCCGCCTCTCCATGCACTTAGTGTACTCCAAAAAGGGGAAATTATCTGGCAAAAATGTCACTTTGCCTACTGTGTTCAAGGCTCCCTTTCGACCAGATATTGTGGGCTTTGTTCACATCAACTTATGCAAAAACAATAGACAGTCCTGTGCTGTCAGTGGTCAGTGAATTGGCAGGTCATCAAACCAGTATGGAGTCTTGAGGTACTGGCAGAGCTGTGACTCGAATTCCCAGAATTTGAGGTGGTGGGACTCCTTGTTCTACACAGGGTGCTTTTGGAAATATGTGTCATGGGGCCACCACCTGTTTGTACCAACAAAAACCTGGCGTCATTGGCACCACAGAGTGAACACAACATTTAAGTGCTATGCCATCTGCTCTGCCGTGGCTGCCTTGGCCTTCCCAGCGCTGGTCATGTCTGAAGGTCATCATATTGAGGAAGTTCCTGAACTTCCTTTGGTGGTTGAAGGTAATGTTGAAGGCTACAAGAAGACCAAGAAGGCAGATTTATTTTTTAAGATACTTAAGGCCTGGAAGGATGTTAAAAAGGTCTATGCCTCTCAGCTAATGAGAGCTGGCAAGGGCAAAAGGAGAAATCATTGTCATATCCAGGGCAGGGGACCTTGCATCATCTATAGTGCAGACAACGGTATCATCAAAGCCTTCAGAAACATTCCTAGAATTACTCTACTTAATTTAAGCAAATAGAACATTTTGAAACTTGCTCCTGGTGAACATGTGGGCTATGTCTGCATTTGGACTGAACATGCCTTCTGCACGTTAGATGAACTCTATGGCACTATGTAAAGCTGTCTCCCTTAAGAGTAACTACAACCTTCCATGCACAGGATGCTCAATACAGACCTGAGCAGAATCTTGGAAAGCCCAGAGATCCAAAGAACCCTCCGAGCACTACGCAAGAAAATTCATCGCAAAGTCATAAAGAACAATCCCCTGACAAACCTGAGAATCATGTTGAAGCTAAACCCATGTGCAAAGACCGTGCATCAGAACACCAGTCTTCTCCAGGCCAAATCAGATGAGAAGGGGGTTCCAGGCATGAAGCCTGTGGTGTGGGAAAGGAAGGAAAAAAGGTCTTGCCGTTACGAAGGAGAAGAAACCTTTGGTGGGAAATAGGCTGCAGATACCAGGAAACCGGCAACTGAGAAGAAACCCACAGAAAAGAAACCTACCACAGAAGAAAAGAGGCCTGCAACATAAATTTAAATTTGTTTCATAAAAGTCAAATCAGCCGAAACCGGTTTGGCTCAGTGGATAGAGCGTCGGCCTGCGGACTGAAAGGTCTCAGATTCGATTCCGGTCAAGGACATGTACCAGGGTTGCGGGCACATCTCCAGTGGGAGATGTGCAGGAGGCAGCTGATCGATGTTTCTCTCTCATCGATGTTTCTAACTATCTATCTCTCTCCCTTCCTCTCTATAAAAAAATCAATAAAATATATTTAAAAAAAAATAGAAGTCAAATCACTTTGGATAGCTAATTTTGAATAAAAACCTGATCAAAGGCAAAAATAATTAAACTTATTAAAAATGTATCACAAACATCTTTAATGACTTTAAACATTCTGTTTTATGAGTGAATATGCCATAGTTTACTTGAGTATTTTCCTATTTTGGAAATCAAATATTTCAATGTTATAAATAGTGCTGGACTCATTATATGAAGAGAAGAACTATGTTATGAGGGTCTGGACACATTTCTCACAGATTTACTTAAATCAGTTGTATCTTGGGGAAGTATAATGGTCATAAATTCTTTAGTTTCTTTGATTTTTTTTATTCTTTCAAACTTGCTTACACCCTATTTTAGTAAAAGTTTTATTTTTATCATTACGGTTTTTCTTCTGCAGAAAAGAGAAAATATTCGTTCTTTAACTATGTCTGGCCATGTTGGTTTTGAGAGTTTGCCTGATCAGCTGGTCAACAGATCCATTCAGCAAGGCTTCTGTTTTAATATTCTCTGTGTTGGTAAGTGCCAGACTTTTCCTCTAAATTGTTCTTTCATATTCCTTGTGCTCACTTCATTCTTGTAAGATGTGTGGTGCTCATGTTATCAATTTGAGATCATGATCACAGATATTTTTCAGTTATTTAAATTCTATGAGTTTTTTTTTAGCTGTACTACTTTAATTTTTTTGTTTGTTCTTTAAACATTTCAGTACTTTCTTCAACGTTCTGAGTAACTTACTCATTTTTATGTTCTACTAATGACTTAGTGGACCACCCTTAGCATATATTTCTGTCTTGGACAACTCAGCTATTGAAATATTTGAAACATTTGGAATCCTTAAAACCATTCTAAGAGTTTATAGTTCTATTTTTTTCTCATCCATCCTGTGCACCTGTGAAGATATACCTTTGTTTCTTTCAGGGGAGACTGGAATTGGAAAATCAACGTTGATTGATACATTGTTTAATACTAATTTTGAAGACCATGAATCCTCACATTTTTGCCCACATGTTAGACTTAAAGCTCAGACATATGAACTTCAAGAAAGTAATGTTCGATTGAAATTGACCATTGTGAATACAGTGGGATTTGGTGACCAAATAAACAAAGAAGAGAGGTACATGTTTTCTTCTTGTAATAAAACAAATTTTTCTTAATTCAGGACATTTGTATTCTTGCCCTATGAGCTATGATTTGATTTTCTACTATGGAAATCCATATCTTAGCCTCCCAGACTTTTAGTTTTTAAATCATTAAGCAATATTTTATTCTCACTAATAATCGACATTTCTATATTTGGTTATTTAATTTCTTTAGAATAATTTGAATTACATTATTAAAATGTCTGTTTCAGCAAAAATAGTTTTAATTATTTTCTGATATATGCCAATATAGTGTATTTTAAGTGACTTGTACTTATTTTCAGACAAGACTTATTTCAGTGAGGGTAAAAAAAAACCAGTAAGACATACAGTGGCAAATATAAATGGCCAAATCCATGGTGCATGAATTTTTTTAATGAAATTCTAATCAAATTAGCCAGGTACCTTATTATGCATTACAGGAAAGGTTTGGTAATGATATTTCTATTTTATATTATGTTATTATTTCTCTTGTGTTATTATAAAGATTGATTATAGGTTCTGTAATCAGATTTAGTTTATATCTGAAATTTAAACTAAAAAAGGAGAAGTAGATTGGAGTAAAGCAATAACTATTGTTCTTTTTTTCCTTTTTTGGAATGTATATATTTTCATTATTAGAGGTAATTTCCTATTTTTCTAAAGTTTGCTTTAGAGAGAAAATATTTTGCATAATTGACTCTTATGTAACTTATGTTAGCCTTTTCAGCGCATTTGTGTGTTCGCTTTAAATTTCAAGAAATGATTTGTGTGTGCTTTTTGGAAGAAACAGACCAGTGGCAGAGGCAAAGGCCTGTGACATGCTACTTTAAATCATATTAGTTTTTAAAATAATGTTCTATATAGAGATCTTGGGCATTTTCAATGATCTCTACATGGTACCTTTTAAAAGTATTTCATTTTCTATAGAAATATTGTATAGAAATATCAATTTTAAATATAGCAACTTTTGTAAATTCTCTGATTAATTACAGTAATTCACTTCTAATATTTAGATTTCCTGTGTATGTTATAGTATAATGACGTTTATATTTCCAACCCTTTTTTTTCTTTTTAAATGTTTTGTTGCTATATAATTTACATAGAAAAAATAAAATGTATTGATTTTATTCAGTGTGCAATTCAGTTAATTTTGACAAATGTGTAGATTTGTTGTCACCACCATGACTAGATATAGGAGAAGGCCATAGTCTTGAGTGCTTTTCTCATATGCACGTGCACATGCAGATGAGGGCTTTGCCAAAGCCAGACGGGCCCTCTCCAGACCTGCATTGCTTTCTCTTGGTGTAGCTCCTTTTCCCAGTGTTCTTGCCTACAAATGCTAATTGTGTTAGCCTCCCTGAACTGCTGTCTATATCTCTCCAGTCAGAGTTGGCCAGGCTCTGTTCTCTCTTCTGTGCTATGCCCTGGAAACCTGTCTCCAGGCAATAATCTAAGGAAATTGTTGAGCTCTCTTCATTTACTTCCCACCTTTGTGACCACAGTTTTATACTGCCTATTGTCCATTGTCTGAAAACCTTTGTCCAAGTTTCTGGCTGTTTAAGGTGGGAGGGTAAATCCAGTCCCATTTACTCCATCATGTCTGGAGACAGTAGTCTTTATTTTTCTTTCATTTTATTTTATTTTAACTTTTTTTTTATTGCTTAAAATATTACAAAGAGTAGTACATTTGTCTCCTTTTTATTCCCCTTGACCTTCCCCCAGCTTCCCCTATCCCTCAGTGTCTTGTGTCCATTGGTTATGCTTATATGCATGCATACAAGTCCTTTGGTTGATCTCTTACCCACCCCCCAACCCTCCCCAGTCTTCCTGCTGTAGTTTGACAGTCTGTTTAATGCTGCTCTGCCTCTGTATCTATTTTTGTTCATCAGTTTATAATGGTCTTAATTATCCATAAATGAGTGAGATCATGTGGTATTTTTCTTTCATTGACTGGCTTATTTCACTTAGCATAATGCTCTCCAGTTCCATCCATGCTGTTGCAAATGGTAAGAATTCCTTCTTTTTTACAGCAGCATAGTATTCCATTGTGTAGATGTACCACAGTTTTCTAATCCATTCATCTACTGATGGGCACTTAGGCTGTTTCCAGATGTTAGCTATGGTGAATTGTGCTGCTATGAACAAAGGGGTGCATATATCCTTTCTGATTGGTGTTTCTGGTTTCTTGGGATATATTCCTAGCAGTGGGATCAATGGGTCAAATGGGAGTTCCATTTTTAACTTTTTGAGGAAACTCCATACTGTCTTCCATAGTGGTTGCACCAGTCTGCATTCCCACCAGCAGTGCACCAGTGTTCCTTTTTCTCCGCATCCTCTCCAGCACTTGTCGTTTTTTGATTTGTTGATGATAGCCATTCTGACAGGGGTGAGATGGTACCTCATTGTTGTTTTGATTTACATCTCTTGGATGATTAGTGATTTTGAGCACGTTTTCATATGTCTCTTGGCTTTCTGTATGTCCTCTTTCGAAAAGTGTCTATTGAGGTCCTTTGCCCATTTTTTGATTGGATTGTTTATCTTCCTTTTGTTAAGTTGTATGAGTTCCCTGTAAATTTTGGAGATTAAAACCTTATCGGAGATAACATTGGCAAATATGTTCTCCCATGTAGTGGGCTTTCTTGTTGTTTTGTTGATGGTTTCTTTTGCTGTGCAGAAGCTTTTTATTTTGATATAGTCCCATTTGTTTATTTTCTCTTTAGTTTCCAATGCCCTAGGAGATGTATCGATGAAGAAATTGCTTCGGCATATGTCTGAGATTTTGTTGCCTTTGGATTCCTCTAGTATTTTTATAGTTTCCCGTCTGACATTTAAGTCCTTTATCCATTTTGAGTTTATTTTTGTGTATGGTGTAAGTTGGTGGTCTAGTTTCATTTTTTTGCATGTATCTGTCCAATTTTCCCAGCACCATTTATTGAAGAGACTGTCTTGACTCCATTGTATGTTCTTGCCTCCTTTGTCAAATATTAATTGAGCATATTGGTTCGGGTCAATTTCTGGGCTCTCTATTCTATTCCATTGATCTATATATGTCTGTTCTTGTGCCAGTACCAGGCAGTTTTGAGAACAGTGGCTTTGTAATACAGCTTGATATCTGGTATTGAGATCCCACCTACTTTGTTCTTTTTCAGGTTAGAATAAGGGAGTTTCCCTATGTTACAATAGTTGTGGGTGTTTTGGTTTTTTTTATTATTCATCTATATATATAAAAGATTAATATGTTAAGTGTCCCTCCAACCGTCTGACCAGCCACTATAACACGCATTGACCACCAGGGGGCAGACGCTCAACACAGGAGCTGCCGTAATGTGCACTGGCCATTTACAAAGAAACAGCACTGTTGACCTGGTGCCAACAAAGCAACACTCAGCTTTCCCCAAGTGGGACATAGGCCCCGCCACCACCCCAAGCAACATCCCACCAAATCGCAGCCAATGCTGCCGACACCCCATGGTGCAAAATGTGTCTCATAGCCCAGCCTAACCCAGAAACGTCTCTGTGGGCACCAGGTAATGACATCATGTAGCAACTCCCGGTTTCCTCTCCCTAGTGACTAGCCGCCGTGGAGTTTCTTCAGCCCAGGATCACGACTTGCTTTATAGCCAGGTGCAAACATTTTACACTTTAACCAAATGTCTGTGAAGCATTTTCCTGTGCCTCATCTCATTTGATTCTCACAGAAGTCCTGGAGCAGGTAGATAGGAGACTTGGTGGAATCCTATTTTCTTTTCATTAACCAGAAAATGGAGATTTTACCCTTTTATTAGTATAGATGTGGCCAATATTTTTTATCCTTTTAACCAAAATTTTGTTTTGCTTTCATAGTTGAAATTTGAGTTGGATATACAATTTTTGATGGGCAATTACTTTCTTTCTTCCCATTGAAGATAGATTCCACTTGTCCCATGGCTTTTATTTTTACTGTTGAGAAGTCAGCTGTTGGTCTGTCTGCTCCTTTAGAGTACTCTTCTTTTTTTCTTCCAGTGCTTTTCAGATCTTTCTTTTTGCTGTTCTCCAGTTTTACCATAATGTCTAATTTTTTATTTATTTCTAATTTATTCTGTCAGTGATTTGTTTGACTTCTTGAGCCTGAATAGTACCATCAGTTCTTTAAAATAATCTGAGACATCATCTTTATATATTGCTTCTACCCTTTTTATGTTTCCTTTCCTTCTGAAACTTTGGTGAAATATGTTAGATTTTCCCATTGTGTCATTAATGTCTCTTACTTTTAATCTCTCTTCCATATTTTTATTTTTCCCCTCTTTCTACATTGTTTTCATAGTTGTTATTTATCTTCCAGTATAGTAATTCTCTCTGTAGCTTTGTCTAATATAGGAGTGGAGAACATCTGGCTTGCGGGCCCACAAAATCATTTGGTCTGGCCCTGCCAAGGCCTTAGGGATATTTAATTAAATGTTTGGTCAAATACAGCAGGCTAATTTTTAAGTTGATAATTTTGTATGGCCTGAGAATGATGTTATAAATATCCAAATGGCCCTTGAAAGAAAAAAGGTTCCCCAGCCCTGGTCTAATGTATACTATTAAACTAATACATTGCGTTTTATATTTTGGTTATTATATTTTTCAAGTGTGTACACTCTGTGTAGTTCCTATCTGTAGGATCACTTGTTATACTTTACTATTCCCAGCACATATGTTTAAGCTGCCTTTTATTTCTGTTTCTTTTATCTCTACTCATAATTATATCTTATAATTCCAGTATATTAAAATTTTGCAGTTAATTTACTGATGTTTGTTTTTTCCTTTGGTTTTCATTCATTGTGCTTTTTATTTTCTCATGTGCTTGGTCCGTCCTTCCTTCCTTCCTTCCTTCCTTCCTTCTTTCCTTCCTTCCTTCCTTCTTTCCTTCCTTCCTTCCTTCCTTCTTTCTTTTTTTATTTCCAGAGATACTTTGAGGTCTAAGGTGAACATACCTTGCTATGAACAGATTTGTGTTTGCTTATGTTAAGCCCCTCTGGGCATTAATACTCTGAAGATCCCTAAACCTTTCTTGTGGCTTGAGGTTTCCAGAATCAAAGAGGCAATGTACTGCAGATATGGGCCACAACTACTCAACAATGGGTCTTTTCTTCCTTTCCTTTTATTTTTCCTGCTACATTTAGTGCCAGGCAGCCTTCCCTATAGATTCTTGGGGAGAGAGTAGGAAATGTAGACTTATTCTAGTTCATTCTTACCCTGAAGGTTTAGGCTTTTAGGATCTCAGCTCAACGTGGGGAGGCAGTCTCAATAGATTTCCACCTTGTGTGGGTCTTGGACTTTGATTCTTCCTTCTCATCGTATAAGTTCCTCAGAAGCAAAGCCCAAGAATTAGAGTGACAAATGACTTCAGGACGAACTAGCACTGATGCTTTAGTGTAGGGATTAGTAAACTTTTTCTGTAAAAGGCCAGATAGCAGATATTTCAAGCTTTGAAGGACATATAGTTTCTGTCTATACTATTCAACCCTTAGTACAAAAGCAGCCAAAGTGCATAAACAAGTGAATGTTGCTGTTTCAATAAAACTTTACTTATAAAAACAGGCATCAGGCTGGATTTGCCTCTGCTTACTTTCTCAGTTTCCACACACTCTTCAAGTTAAAAAAATGTTATTAATTTTTAGAAAGAGAGGAAGGGAAACATGAATGAGAGAGAAACATTGACCGGTTGTCTCCTGCATGCCCCCTACTGGGGATTGAGCCCGAAACATGGGCATGTGCCCTGACTGGGAATCAAACTGGCAACCTCTCAGTGCATGGGATGGGACAATGCTCAACCAGCTGAGCCTCACCGGCCAGGTCGTGTATTCTCTTCAATTTTTACCTGGTTAGTTCCTTACCACTTTATGAGTACTTTGATATTTTAAGAGGTGATTCTTCTGTTTTAAGCCAGTGTCTTTCATTTCATTAGAAGAGTGATCCTGCAATTTACTGGAAATGGAAACCTAGGGCAAATTACTATGGAATGGCATATTATTTAACTGAGAAAAGACATGAGTATCAATAACTTAATAGACACTAAAGTAAAATTTCATGACTTCTTGCTTCTTAAATGAGATTTGTAAGGCATGAAAATCATGAACATATTAAGGAAGGAAGGCACACATCAAGTGAAAGGATAATATCAATAACTCAGGCAAGTGTGGGAACCTTGTCAGAAAGGGGTCCATTGTATGAATGAATGTGAGAATGAATCAATGTAAATTCAGTATCATTTCTGTAAAACAGTTTAAAGCCCTATCTTTGCACGTGCATGTTTTGCACAATTTAATACTAAAGTTATCTGTTTTGCATAGAGATTAAGTGTTTATTAATTGATGAAAATATAGATCTCAAAATTTAGAGGTATAGATATCTTATTAAGGTCACATGAATATGTTGTATTCAGTATTTAAATAATTATTTTTCCAGCTACCAACCAATAGTTGACTACATAGATGCTCAGTTTGAGGCCTATTTGCAAGAAGAACTGAAGATCAAGCGTTCTCTCTTTAACTACCACGATTCTCGTGTCCATGCATGCCTCTACTTCATCTCTCCAACAGGCCACTCTCTGAAGACATTGGACCTCTTAGCCATGAAGAGCCTTGACAGCAAGGTGGGTTTGGAAGAGGAATAAACTTATCCTGCTGTAATATTTATTTTGAATTATTAAAATACCTTTATGATAATATATGTAGAACTTTCATTCTTTGCATTTTTAAAATATTTGCTAAGTTTCAATCTTAGGTTATTTTCCAGAGAAATTTAGTTTGGAAGATGAGACGCAAAGAAAAAACATTAACATAAAACTTTAGTTCCTTTTTAAATGCTAGTAGCAGCACTTTTTAAAATATATTTTTATTGAATTCAGAGAGGAAGGGAGAGGGAGAGAGGTAGAAACATCAATAAGAGAGAATCATTGATCAGCTGCCTCCTGCATGCCTCCTACTGGGAATTGAGCCCGCAACCCAGGCATGTGCCCTTGACTGGAATCGAACCCGGGACCCTTCAGGACACAGGCCGACACTCTATCCACTGAGTCAAACTGCCTAGGGCAACTTTAGTTCTTTTTTTATAATAAATTGTATGTCAGAATATGAGAATTTATTTACATTTTCTTTAAAAATGCCTATCAGTACTCCATTCCTTTTAATTAATTACTGAATAATATTCCATTGTATGGATATGTCATATTTTCTCTATTCATCAGGTGATGGACATTTGGGTTTTGGCTCCTCTGAATAATGCTAGTTTGTCTGCTAGAGCTGCTATAACAAAATACGACATACTGAGTGGCTGAAATAACAGAAATTTTCTCAGTTTTGGAAGTTAGGTGTCTGAAATCAAGGTGTAAGCAGGTTTGATGTCTTCTGAGGCCTCTCTTCTGGGCTTGCAAAGGCATTCACCAGCAGAAAACTAACTTTTTTCTTGCTAAAATATTTTTTTGATGACAAAACTTGTAGGGCCTTATCATGTTAAAAAAAAATCGGGGTAGAGGAAAAATAGGGTGTGCACACATGACATAAAATCCCTTTCTTCACATTTGGTTAATAACACTTGCAAAATTCTATTTAGAATCTTTATGCCATTGGTGCTTTGTAAGAGCCAGTATATAAATGGACAGGGTACATCCAGGACTGTTCGTTTCTCTTGTGTAGTGAAAATCCTATGGCCCAGGGTCCTGGTGGAATTTAGTTTTGGAGGCTGGAAGTTCGAGATCAGGGTGCCAGCAGGGCTGTGTGAGGGTCATCTTCCTGGTTGCAGACTTCTCATTGTAGTCTCACATGGTGGAAGGGTCACTTACATTTTTTTAAATGTGGAATTTATTTGACGCTAATTTTACTTTATGACAAGTTCATTGACAAAGATTAAGATGAAATGTTTTATCATATATTACTGTAAATTGTGTTTTAATGTGAACTATACCAAAAAAACTATTTTTGAATTTATGAGCCAAGGACATATATATAAATTTAGGGATCTATAAAAAATATTATTCACAAATTAACTCACTTTGGATTTTTTTGTTTAAAAGGTGATTATAGACTACTATCTTATACTAAAAAAATAACTAGAAATTTTCTGTAACCTCAAATATTATGAGAAATTCAGTTTTCATTATCCTGGCTAGTTATTTTATGAGATAGTATTCAGAAAGCAAGGTCATTCTGGGCATTACTACTTTCTATGTAGATATCAGAGTGGAAAGCATGAAGGACTGCCAGTGAAGTCTTGGTGCATAGATCAGTCGACTTTTCACTAGTTGCAGGCTCCTGGTTTTAGCAAAAATTTGATGAAGCTTATTTGATAGCTGGTTCATCTCACCAGACTTTGTAACCACTTAGCCAGTTATTTTCATTATTTAGTCTGATTATATGGAAGTTCATATTTATTAATAGAACATAAAAGCAAGAGTGTGCAACTTTGTCTTAGCTGGACAGAAGCAACATGATGTAGTTTGTGTAAAGATCATAGAATTTGGTGTCAGTAAAGGCTGGTTTTTAAATATTAGCTCTGTCACTTAATAGCTGTATGTTCTTTGGCAAGTTATTTAGCCCTCTGAGCCTCAGTTTCTTCACCTCTAAAATAAAAGCTAGGGAGTTTTAAAAAGAGGTGATCTCAAGAGGCAGATGTGAAGATTAATTAAAATTGATAGTTTGTCCTTTGTTCCTAAAAGCAGAACACTCCACTGCTCACATGGAAACCTACCTTATCTTACCCTCAATGTGAAACATGTTGCTTTCCCTCCCCCTGATACACAAATACTCATTAGGTTTATCTTTCGGTCTGTGTGTGTCCTCAAGCCTATTGATAGTGATGCTCGTGGTTAGAAATGCCGAAGGTACTCCTCCGACTGGATTTACTCATAGTATGAGCTCCACAGACATCTCCCACCCCTGCCACCATCACCAGAGTTTGTGTCCTGGCTGGGCCAGCCCTTGTGGTTCTTATTATGATCTTAGGATGCACTTTAGCAAGAAACCATCAGGGAACTTAGAAGAACAAGATTTGTTACAGATTCCTGGAGGGTACACAGCACACCCAAGGACCACACAGGAGATCAGGAGAAGAGGGAAAAGGAGGGAGTACAAACCTGGAACTCTGTGTTTATTAGGGTTCAAGGGTGGGGTATCTCGGGTGTTGTGGGTTTGCTCTTTTTGGTGAATGTAAAGCCTAAGAGTGAGAATTAGAGTGTGGAAAGGGAGATGTGGGTCAGTTCTTTAGGTGGCTCAGGCTATCTAAAAGGGGAACTTCATGGGTCGGACAGCCTGGTTCCTTACTGGTGTTTTGCTAGTAGCTTTGTCATATACCTGGCAAAATATTTATTCAAGTTTGATGTCTTTGAAATGGATACCTTAGCAATTGAAAGCTTAAGGTCAGGCACTTTTATTACAGTCAAAAAGCTTAACATTGGGCACTTATACTGCAGCCTGCTTTCTGTACTTATTGTGGATGCAATTACATAAGTTATTAGCATAATTTATTGAATATTTAAGTACATCATATTGAACTTTGCATCAACTTTTTATGTACTGTACTCTGACTAATTTAACATAAAAGCTATTTTTACCCTCAATTGTTGGAAAGTTTTCTGTCATTTATTTCATGGATAGTTAGAAAAATTTTCACTTCCATATTTAAGACTAATAAATCCAAATATACCAGTAAATCAGTGTGAAATTGGAGACGAGAAAGAAATTTAAGAATTGAGTAGAAATTATGATTTTTAGTTTTCATTTTTATTTTTGAAATTATATTGATATCTCACTCTCTTGACACACGTGACTAGCCTGAAATTTCTCACTAAAAACAAACTAAATAACCAAAACCCAAAAAATCTACACACCCCTAAATTTGTGTAGGTATCCATCTTTTATGGTGACATTAATTTTATAGAATTAGCTTTTTACAAGTTTGTTGGCCTTCATGACCCCAGATCTCTTTCTCTCTGGCTGGTGACAGGACTTCAAATAATGCTGAGAAAGTTAGTCCTTTGAGTTAGGAACATTCTCAGTTGGTCATAAAATTTTCTTCCTTTAACATCTAGGTAGGAGTCACTGCTGATGAGGCACAGTTTGGATAGATTCTTTGGGGAAAGGGAGCTGTTGAAATGAGAGGCAGAAGGAGAAACAACCTGTTTCACAATTTTGTATGGGATCAATCATCCTAATTATTTAGTGCTTATATTATTAACAAATAAAAAATTAGTGAATTAGCAGGCAGGTTTGACTTAATGTTACATGTTACTTATTTGTGTATGATAGGACTGTAAGAGATTTTGAGAGAAGAAAATGTGAGATTTTTAAACCGAAATTCAGGTGAAAGATTAATCTAGGTCGGGTCGGCAAGCTTTTTCTGTGAAGGGCCAGGTAGTAAACACTTTAGGCTTCTCAGGCCACATGATCTCTGATTGTAGCCTGAAAGTGGCCGTAGACAATAAGTAAATGAATGGGCCCAGCTGTATTCCAATAAGTTCCTTCCTTCTTTCCTTCCTCCCCCCCTTCTCTCTCTCATTATTTGTCTTCCTCCTCCCTCCTTTCCTTTATTCCTCCTTCCCTCCCTTCCTTTCTTCCTTCCTTCCATTATTCCTGACCCAAAGATATTTTTACCATTAGTTTTTAGAGTGTGGAAGGAGTGGGGAGGAAGAGGAGAGAGGAAGGAAGGGAGGGAGAGAGGGAGGGAGGGAGGGAGGGAGGAAGGAGAAACATGAGAGAGACACATCCATTGGTTGCCACCCGCAACTCAGGTACATTCCCTTGATGGGGAATCGAACCAGCAATCCTGTGGTGTGAGGGCCGGTGCTCTAACCATTTAGTCACAACAGCCAGGGCAATAAGTCTTTATTTCTATAAACAGGCAATGAGCTAGACTATAGTTTACCTATCCCCTAATCTAGGTTAAGGAAATTTCTCAGAGACTTAGTGGTTTTGAATGCAGAAACTAAAGGATTAAAAAATAAATCTTCAATTACAAGATTTTGTTTTTCTTTATTCTTAATAGGTGAATATTATACCAGTGATTGCAAAAGCAGATGCAATTTCTAAAACGGAATTACAGAAGTTTAAGATCAAGCTCATGAGTGAATTGGTCAGCAATGGTGTCCAGATATACCAATTCCCGACAGATGATGAAACTGTTGCTAAAATCAATGCTTCAATGAATGTGAGCTCCTAACTGAATATTACATCTGTTTTATATGTGAAAAAAGTAATTTATAGATAACATTGCTGCTAACATATTTTCACTTATGTCTTCCAAAAAGACACCAAACAAGGTGAATTTTCAAAAAGTCCAGTATAGGAAAATGTTTTGTTTTCTGGAGTTGAAAAAAGTATAATGAGCCTATATTTTTTAGCATATTTTCTTTCTTCCATATTTTCATGTAAATCAAATGATACATTGTGAGACTGGGATACTCCTTTTCTGGAACCATAGTTAAAGATACCTTAAAGCAGTGATTCTCAACCTTCTGGCCCTTTAAATACAGTTCCTCATGTTGTGACCCAACCATAAAATTATTTTCATTGCTACTTCATAACTGTAATGTTGCTACTGTTATGAATCGTAATGTAAATATCTGATATGCAGGATGGTCTTAGGCAACCCCTGTGAAAGGGTCGTTCGACCACCAAAGGAGTCGCGACCCACAGGTCGAGAACCGCTGCCTTAAAGATACCTTAATTGCCTTAAAGACACCTTTTAACTCTGTCTTTAAAAACAGAAGACTTGATAGCTTCCTTTGGTTACTTAGAATCTTAAAATCTTTAAGGAGATCTTTCTGATCTGTTGTTTAAGCTCATTCTTTCTTGCAGTGTCACAAGTACATAATAAACATTCATATAACCTTTAGTTTACTATAATTGAAGACAGCTAAGTTTTCATATTACTTGCTTCAGGCTTCCAAATCTTTAAAATATCGGCTTATATTTTGAAGGATCATGGGTTTTGGAGTCGGACAGATTTAACCATATATTCTTGTGGAAGTTATTAACCTCCCCTCCCCTAAGACTGTTAACGTATCTATAAAGTGGGATTAATAATGCCTATCTTAAGGGTTGTTGAGAGGATACAACTTTGATGCACTGTCAACATCGTGACATTCGATTAACTGTTCATTCCATTTCTCTTTTTTCCCTTTTCTGACTTTTCATACTCCCATTTACTTTACGATACTTAAAACTAAAAATATAAAAAAGCCTGATTAATTTAAATGACATATAAATGTAAGTGATCTTAATTCTTATGTGTCATATTGTCTCTACATCTAATTTTATTTCTATGTCCATATGGAATAATTTTTCAGAAAGGCACAATTAAGAGACTAATAATGTCAATTATTAAATATTAAACATAATACTTAATATTTTTTACATTTGTCTTTTCCTTGTATTAATCCTTAACTTCAGAGAGATCAGTCTGCTCATTGACTCTAAATCTACCTTTTGTATGTTTGCTCAACATTTTCTCCTTACCTCCCTGGCCAGTGTGGCTCAGTTGATTGGGAATCGTCCTGTGCACCAGGAGGTTGCCAGTTTAATTCCTGGTCAAGGGCACATGCCCAGATTGTGGGCTCAATCCCTAGTAGGGAGGCCTGCAGGAGACCGCCGATAGATGTTGCACTCTCACATGGATTTTTTTTGTGTGTTTTTTTTTCTGTCTTTCTCCTTTTTCCTTCCTTTCTCTCTAAAAAGCAGTAAACTATTCTTCAAATAAGTTTGTTTTTCTCCTTACTTAAGCTAGTTTTCCAGTCTGCTCGATTCATCTTTAGTTTGGATTGTATCTTCTTGCTCATAGTAATATCTCATTTCTCTAAATTTCAGAAACATTTTCTGTATTTAGCAGTAATTTGGGACGTAAATATTATTTTGGGTTAATAGTATATATCTATGCGCACACTAAATATATATATGGTCAAGTTTTAAAATCTGGAGCATAGTAGATTTGATTTTAAGAAATTTGCTATTTAACCCCTAGAGTGCCGGGGAGCACGATTGCACTCCTCCTGTCTTTCACCAAAAGTGCCGGGAGCGCTGTTGCGCTCCTCCTGCAGTGTCACTATTAGATGCTAGTAGTTCACTCTTTATGTGGGAAAAATATTTAAAAACCATAACTCAAAATGGCTTGGCAATTTTAGCATAGTTCCAAGGATATTGGTTGGCACTCAAAGAGTTAATTAATTTTATGTTATTTTTATAAAACTGTTTTAGTATTTATCACACTGGTATGAGATGTGATTGATATTGTGGCTTCTTTCCAGGGACATTTGCCATTTGCTGTTGTAGGAAGTATGGATGAGGTAAAAGTTGGAAATAAGCTGGTCAAAGCTCGCCAGTACCCTTGGGGTGTTGTACAAGGTAAATGAGATAAACAATGACTAGAAATATTTGTCACCCAATAGTCTCAAAGTTGCATTTAATGCATTCTTTAAAATGATGCTTATTTATTTATTTATTTATTTATTTATTTATTTATTTTTTATTGCTTAAAGCATTACAAAGGGTATTACATATGTGTCCTTTTTTTACCCCGCCCTTGACAATACCCCGGCTTCCCCTACCCCCCAGTGTCTTATGTCCATTGGTTATGCTCATATGCATGCATACAAGTCCTTCAGTTGATCTCTTACCCCCCTCCCTCCTGCCCCCCAACCCTCCCCGACCTTCCCGCTGCAGTTTGACAATCTGTGTGAGGCAGCTCTGCCTCTGTATCTATTATTGTTCAAAAGTTTATAATGGTCTCTATTATCCATGAGTGAGTGAGATCATGTGGTATTTTTCCTTCATTGACTGGCTTATTTCACTTAGCATAATGTTCTCCAGCTCCATCCATGCTGTTGCAAATGGTAAGAGTTCCTTCTTTTTTACAGCAGCATAGTATTCCATCGTGTAGATGTACCACAGTTTTCTAATCCATTCATCTACTGATGGGCACTTAGGCTGTTTCCAGAGCTTAGCTATGGTGAATTGTGCTGCTGTGAACATATGGGTGCATATATCCTTTCTGATTGGTGTTTCTGGTTTCTTGGGATATATTCCTAGAAGTGGGATCACAGGATCAAATGGGAATTCCATTTCCAGTTTTTTGAGGAAACTCCATACTGTCTTCCATAGTGGCTGCACCAGTCTGCATTCCCACCAGCAGTGCACAAGTGTTCCTTTTTCTCCACATCCTCTCCAGCACTTGTCGTTTGTTGATTTGTTGATGATAGCCAGTCTGACAGGTGTGAGATGGTACCTCATTGTTGTTTTGATTTGCATCTCTCGGATGATTAGTGACTTTGAGCATGTTTTCATATGTCTCTTGGCTTTCTGAATGTCCACTTTTGAAAGGTGTCTATTTAGATCCTTTGCCCATTTTTTGATTGGATTGTTTATCTTCTTTTTGTTAAGTTGTATGAGTTCCCTATAAATTTTGGAGATTAGGCCCTTATCAGATATGACGTTGGCAAATATGTTTTCCCACGCAGTGGGTTTTCTTGTTGTTTTGTTGATGGTTTCTTTTGCTGTGCAGAAGCTTTTTATTTTGATGTAGTCCCATTTGTTCATTTTCTCTTTAGTTTCAACTGCCCTAGGAGCTGTATCAGTGAAGAAATTGCTTTGGCATATGTCTGAGATTTTGTTGCCTTTGGATTCTTCTAGAATTTTTATGGTTTCCTGTCGTACATTTAAGTCCTTTATCCATTTTGAGTTTATTTTTGTGTATGGTGTAAGTTGGTGGTCTAGTTTCATTTTCTTGCATATATCTGTCCAATTTTCCCAACACCATTTATTGAAGAGACTATCTTGGCTCCATTGTATGTTCTTGCCTCCTTTGTCAAATATTAATTGAGCATATTGGTTCGGGCCGATTTCTGGGCTCTCTATTCTATTCCATTGATCTATATGTCTGTTCTTGTGCCAGTACCAGGCAGTTTTGAGAACAGTGGCTTTGTAATACAGCTTGATATCTGGTATTGAGATCCCACCTACTTTGTTCTTTCTCAGGATTGCTGCAGCTATTCGGGGTCTTTTTTTATTCCAGATGAATTTTTGGAGAGTTCGTTCTAGATCTGTGAAGTATGCCGTTGGTATTTAAATGGGAAGTGCGTTGAATTTATAGATTGCTTTGGGTAGTATGGACATTTTAATGATGTTGATTCTACCAATCCATGAACATGGTATGTTCTTCCATCTCTTTATGTCTTCCTCTATCTCTTTTTTCAACGTCCTGTAGTTTTCTGAGTAGAGGTCTTTTACCTCTTTAGTTAAGCTTATTCCTAGGTAGCTTAATTTTTTTGGTGCGATGGTAAATGGGATTGTTTTTATAATCTCTCTTTCTGAAAGTTCACTATTGGTGTATAGAAATGCCTCAGATTTCGTGGCATTAATTTTGTATCCTGCTACTTTGCCAAATTCATGTATTAAGTCTAGTAGTTTTTTGACGGAGTCTCTAGGGTTTTGTATGTATAATATCATGTCATCTGCAAATAAGGACAGTTTTACTTCCTCTTTTCCAATTTGGATGCCTTTTATTTCTTCTTCTTGTCTAATTGCAATGGCTAATACTTCCAGGACTATGTTGAACAGGAGTGGTGAGAGTGGGCATCCTTGTCTTGTTCCTGTTCTTAGTGGAAATGGTGTTAGTTTTTGTCCATTGAGTATGATGTTGGCTGTGGGCCTGTCATATATGGCTTTTATTATGTTGAGGTATGATCCTTCTACTCCCACCATGCTGAGAGTTTTTATCAAAAATGGGTGTTGGATTTTGTCGAATGCTTTTTCTGCATCAATTGATATGACCATGTGGTTTTTTTCTTTCAATTTGTTTATGTGATGTATCATGTTTATTGATTTGCGTATATTGTACCATCCTTGCATCCCTGGGATAAATCCTACTTGGTCATGGTGTATGATCTTTCTGATGTACTGCTGGATCCGATTTGCTAAGATTTTGTTGAGGATTTTGGCATCTATGTTCATGAGGGATATTGGCCTGTAATTCTCTTTCATTGTGTTGTCTTTACCTGGTTTTGGTATTAGGGTGATGCTGGCTTCATAGAATGAGCTTGGAAGTGTTCCTTCCTCTTGAATTTTTTGTAGTAGTCTGAGGAGGGTAGGTTTTAGTTCTTCCTTGAATGTTTGGTAAAACTCCCCTGTGAAGCCGTCTGGCCCTGGGCTTTTGTTTGCTGGAAGCTTTCTGATGACTGCTTCAATTTCTTCCATAGTTATTGGCCTATTGAGATTTTTAGATTCTTCCTGATTGAGTTTTGGAATGTTGTATTTTTCTAGGAATTTGTCCATTTCCTCCAGGTTGTCTAGTTTGTTGGAGTAGAGCTGTTCATAGTATTTTTTAACAATCATTTGTATTTCTGTGGGGTCTGTTGTTATTTCGCCTCTATCGTTTCTGATTTGGTTTATTTGGGTCCTCTCTCTTTGCTTCTTGGTGAGCCTGGCTAGAGGTTTGTCAATCTTGTTTATCCTTTCAAAGAACCAGCTCTTAGTTTCATTGATTTTCTGTATTATCTTTTTGGTCTCTATGTCATTTATTTCTGCTTTAATCTTTATTATCTCCTTCCTTCTGCTCACTCTGGGGTTTTCTTGTTGCTCTTTGAGTTGTAGCATTAGATGATTTACTACCATTTTTTCTTGCTTTTTGAGATAGGCCTGTAGAGCTATAAACTTCCCTCTCAGGACTGCTTTCATTGCGTCCCATAGGTTTTGGATTGTTGTGTTTTCATTGTCATTAGTTTCCAGGATGCTTTTAATTTCTTCTTTGATCTCATTGGTAACCCAATCAATATTTAATAACATGTATTCAGCTTCCAGGTGTTTGAGTATTTTGGGTTGTTTTTTTTTGTAGTTCATTTCTAATATTATGCCATCGTGATCTGAGAAGATGCTTGGTATGATTTCAGTCTTCTTGAATTTGGGGAGACTTTGTTTGTGACCCAATATGTGGTCTATTTTTGAATATGTCTTATGAGCCCTTGAGTAGAATGTATATTCCGTGGCTTTGGGGTGAAGTGTTCTGAAGATGTCAATTAAGTCCATCTGATCAAGTGAGTCATTTAGGGTTGCTGTTTCTTTGCTGATTGTTTGTCTAGAGGATTTATCCAGAGATGTCAGTGGTGTATTAAAGTCCCCTACTATGATTGTATTGTTGTCGATCTCTCCTTTGATATCTTCCAGGAGTTTTTTTATGTATTTGGATGCTCCTGCATTGGGTGCATAAATGTTTACCAGGGTTATATCTTCTTGTTGTATTGATCCCTTTAGTATTATGAAGTGGCCTTCCTTATCTCTGGTTATGGCCTTCACTTTGAGGTCTATTTTGTCTGATATAAGTATTGCTACCCCAGCTTTCTTTTCCTTTCCATTTGCCTGGAAGATATTTTTCCATCCCTTCACTTTCAGTCTGTGTGAGTTGCCTGGAAGATATTTTTCCATCCCTTCACTTTCAGTCTGTGTGAGTCCCTTCTAATGAGGTGGGTCTCTTGTAGACAGCAAATGTATGGGTCATGTTTTTTTTATCCATTCAGCCACTCGATGTCTTTTGGTTGGAGCATTTAGTCCGTTTACGTTTAAAGTTTTCTTTCTGAGCTTTTTATTTCTTCTTTTTACACCAGTCCCTTTAGCATTTCTTGCATTGCTGGCTTGGTGGTGATAAACTCCCTTAGACATTTTTTGTCTGTGAAGCTTCTTATTTCCCCTTCAAATTTGAATGATAGCCTTGCTGGATAGAGTATTCTTGGATTCAGTCCTTTGCTTTGCATCACTTTGTAAATTTCCGTCCATTCTTTTCTGGCCTGATGTGTTTCTGTTGAGAAATCATTTGATAATCTAATGGGAGATCCCTTGTATGTAACTTTCCGTCTCTCTCTTGCAGCCTGTAAGATTCTCTCTTTGTCCTGAACATTTGCCATGGTAATTATGATGTGTCTTCGTGTGGGTCTTTTCGGGTTCACCTTGTTTGGGACTCTCTGTGCTTGTGTGACTTTTTTCTTCCCCACCTCAGGGAAGTTTTCTGATATTATTTCTTCGAGTAGGTTTTCTAACCCTTGTTCCTCTTTCTGTTGTTCTGGCACCCCTATTATTCGTATGTTGTTTCGTTTCATGTTGTCCCAAAGCTCCCTTAGGCTCTCTCCTCCTGTCTTTTAATTTTTTTCTCCAATTGCAGTACAGTTTGGATGTGTTTTGCTTCTTTGTCTTCTAATTCACTAATTCGGTCCTCCGCTTCTCCTAGTCTACTGTTGATGCTTTCAATGGTGTTTTTTATTGCAGCTATATCGCTCTTCATTTCTTCTTGGGTCTTGCATAAGTTATTGATTTTTTCATCTGTTTCTTCTTGCTTCTTGCATAAGTAGTTGATTTTTTCCTCCATCCGGTTTATGCACGCTAGGACCCTTATTCTGAATTCTTTTTCTGTCATGTTGCATGCCTCTGTCTCACTTAGCTGCTTTTCTGGTGAGTCCTCCTTTTCTTTCCTTTGGGGGTTTCTTTGCCTACCCATGTTTGATCTCGCTGACATATGTAGATGTTGAGTCGTTCAGTGGCTGCTCCCTGGGTGGCAGGGGCTCCTTGGGTCGTGGTTGCTGCTCGGACGGTTGTGGTAGCAGCTGCTTCCCAGTTGGCAGCAGCTCCTCTGGTGCGTGCTGTTCACAGCTGTGGTGTCTCTTCTGGCTGGTGGGGGGAGGCTTCACGTACAGCTGCTGTTCCTCAGACAGAGGGTGTGGTGATCAGGTGGTGATCAGGAGGCTGCGGTGATCAGGGGGCTGCTGTTGCTTGGATCTGCTGCGTTGATTTAAAGGCACAAGATACAACACAACAAGGCACAACGTACCAGGCACTGAACACAAGTATATTCACGATATTAATAACCCCAAATAAAGGTGATCACCTGAATTAAGAGAATTAGGGGATAAGGAACAAAGAAGAGAAGAAGATAAAAGCGAGAAAAGAAAAGAAAAATAAGAAAAAAACAAACAAAAAAAGTGCAAAAATAGAATTGGGAAAAAAGAGGGGGGGAAAAAAGAAAAAAAAAAAGAGCGAAAAGAGAGAATGAAGTAGAATGGGGAAGAGACTGTTTGTATGAGGAGCAAACTCCAATAGAACTGCCACTGATCTCAACAAATTCCAGCAACAGATCCCTGGAGATGAATACAAACTACAAACCACCAGTAATATCAAGAGGGGCAAGGGGAAAACAGAAGCCCAAAAATAACCGGTGGGGGGGGGGGGGGGAGGAAGGGAAAAACCAGCAGAAAAATAAAATAAAAAGAAAAAGCAAAACAACCTCACAACCAGTCCTAGAAAAGAAAAAGAAAAAACACAAAACAAAACAAACAAACAAATAAAAAAAAAAACCCAATATATTCAACAATCAAGAAAACAATAGAAAGATAAGAGAAAAAAAATGTTTGGAAAGTGAAGAAGGATAAAGAATAGGTGTATAAGGATTTAGAGAAGTGGATTGGAAATAGGATATATAAGTAGGGTGGAATTAGACAGGGGGTAAAAGGACGGAATTGGGAAAATCTAAAGCAGGAATAGGGTAAGAGAAACAGGACACCAAAAGGGGAAAAGTGAGGAAGAGGGTTTTAGCAAAGAGGTGAAATTGAGATAGGGAAAATTAATGCTAAAGGAATGATGAAAATAGAATGGAGAACACTAATCCCAAAAGAAAATAAAGAGAAAATAAAATGGCACTTTAAAAAATGGTAAAATGGTAGCAGTAATAATACTGGTTAAAAATAAAAATGTAGTAATTGAAAGGGTAAAATCAGGTGATGGAAAAAGAAGAAAAAGAAAAAAAAATTGGTTTCTTAGTAAAAAGGCGAAAAAAGAAAAAAAAAAGAAAAAGAAAAAATTTGCAGTAGTGATGGTCTTTCGGTTCTTCTACTCTTCAGCCTGGTTCGCCTTAGTCCTGCCAGGTATTTAGGAGAGTGTTGAATTTCCCTGCGTTACACTGTTCCTCCGTGTTATAAATCACAGTCCTGATTTTAAAGCAGGCCGTATTTGTGATCCAGTCTGCCTTAACTTGTATTCACCTAAGAGTCAGTTTGTGGCTCAGCCTCTGGGTGGCAGTGTTTTTGGGTTGGCCTCTTATTATTTATTTTTTTAATATATTTTTATTGATTTCAGAGAGGAAGGGAGAGGGAGAGAGAGGTAGAAACATCAGTGATGATAGAGAATCATTTATTAGCTGCCTCCTGCATGCCCCACACTGGGGATCAAACCCGCAACCTGGGCATGTGCCCTAACCAGGAATCAAACTATGACTTCCTGGTTCATAGATCAACACTTAACCACTGAGCCATGCGGGCTGGACAAAGTGATGCTTAGTTTTTATTATGACTCATTGTTAGTCAGGTCTGTAGAGACCAGGCAGAGCCTCTCCATTACCTGCCCAGGTGCACCAAGACATGCAGAAGGTGGGACACACTGGTCAGGCAGTTTGAACAAAAATTTGAGTGTAAATAACAGTGTGTAAACATGATACATAATAATTACCAGGTAATTCTGGGGTATAGTAAGTTATCTTATAAATTTACGTATTTTTTACTACAAACTATTGCCAACTATTTCCAAAATAAACCAGTCAGCCAACTAAAAAAATTTTAGGATTTATTTAGCATTATAATAGTAAGTAATTAGAACTATTTGGTTCATTTACTTGTAATGGTAATTACTAGTACTGATTTCCCAATGCTGCTTTTTATTAAATTGACAAATTTTATAATAAATTTAAATATTGAAAATTAAACATTTTTAATGTATAAAAATATTTAAAAAACAGTTGTACTTAAACAGTAACATACTTATTTGTGATTTTCTGGTCACTATAAACATAGGGGGAACATTTAAGTTTATTAACTGTCTAACACAAGATTGTAAATGTGGCATTTGTATCAAAAGAATTTGATAGCATGCACAGATGGGATTCTTGAGTATGCAGAATTTACTACTTTGAAGTGAAATAATGTTACTTCTTTTTTAAAATATATTTTTATTGATTTCAGAGCGGGAGAGAGAGATAGAAACATCCATGATGAAGGAAGAAACATTGATTGGCTGCCTCCTTCATGCCTCTTACTGGGGATCAAGCCCACAACCCGGGCATGTGCCCTTGACCAGAATCGAACCCGGGACCCTTCAGGACACAGGCCGACACTATCCACTGGGCCAAACCAGCTAGGGCTGATGTTACATATTTTTTAAGCACTATGTGAAGTATCCTGAAGATGTTTTGTAAACGGTTAGCACTATGTTAGTGAAATAACTGGAGCACGTGTTGCCTATAATTTAGTGTCTTATGGAAGAGTTTCTTCCTTGGCTACTTATACGGATATCAGACTTACCATTTTCCTGTTTGTTATTTCAGATATTTTCATTTAATTACTCATTCAACAAATGCTAATTCTGTGTCCGTAATTAAAAACTGGTGTTGCTGTTTCTCGTTTTTCTGGCCAGTGGAAAATGAAAACCACTGTGACTTTGTAAAGCTTCGGGAAATGCTCATTTGTACAAACATGGAGGATCTGCGAGAACAGACCCATACGAGGCATTATGAACTGTACAGGCGTTGCAAACTGGAGGAAATGGGCTTTGCGGATGTGGGCCCAGAGAATAAGCCTCTCAGGTAAGTGGGGATTATACTTCTTTATTTATCCAGAGGATGGAGAATGTCTTTTTCAGAAATCTCCCAATATGAAGTAGAACCATTTGATATTGATTAATTATTGTGCCTTTAGGTCACTTAAAGCCTTCTTGTTTTTAAGGGTCTCTAAGTCATCACATAAAAGGAAGAACATATGGTAAAAGCTTATTATTTCAGTATGTGCTGAAATGAATAACTAAAGAAAAACTTTTAATTTGGTTTTGTTTTTTATTTATCTGGAAAAAAAGCATATTATTATAAAAGAAAGTTGAAATGGGAATCATATTAAATAAATTTAAAAACTGTTGGTTTTTGTCCTGATGAATGTTTTTAGAATGACTTAAATTTAGGAAAATAAAGAATGAAAGTACTTATAGGGAGTTAGAAATTAGACTGTGTCTTAAATATTGCAATGTACTTACAAGAATTTTAGAACCTGATGACCTTCTTATGATGAACATTAAATGTAATTTTTTATGCTGCTGCATCCCATTTTTTTTAAGATATGTAAACATGAAACTCTAATCGTAAATACACTAATTCAGATTTGACAGAGCATTCCAGGAGGAAAGCATGAGATCTTTAAACTATTTTAAACTCTGTTATGAAACTAAGGATTTCTTCTCCTTCTGACTATTTGTATTTCAGTCATTTTTCTGGCTATTAGTAATTGCACCATAGTAAACAAAAGGAAGTAAGAGAAGAAATTAAATTGATGCTGCTATTGCAAATGACTTTTGGAAAGATTTAATAAATGACATTAAATTTTTAAATTTTTTTCAATCTATGGATTTAATTAGTGTTTTAGTTCTTGGAAGCATTTTATGTACTTAATCCCTGCTCACCTATTCAGGAATGCTATACTTCCAGTTCTGGGCCAGTTCTGGTAAAATGATTATGTTCTTTATTGAAGATAAGTCACCTAGAGTTGATTCCTCTAATGCAGTGGTTCTCAACCTTTGCTGCACATTAGAATCACCTGGGAATCTTTTTAAAATCCTGATTTCTGGGCCTCATCCTCCGGAAATTCTGTTTCTTTGTTACTAATGTTTGGCCCCACCCCATAACAAAGAAACAGAATTTCCGGAGGATGAGGCCCAGAAATCAGGATTTTAAAAAGATTCCCAGGTGATTCTAATGTGCAGCCAAGGTTGAGAACCACTGCTCTATGTTTCCCAAAGGAGGCTTTGTCTTTCATTCTTTCAAGTTTCAGGGTCAATTCAGAGGTCTCTGTGTGCATTAGTGAGACACAGATCCTGAGTGAGAGCAAGTAGGACAGCCTTGAAAGACTCCAAGAATTGGATTCAGGTTGCCAGGTGGATCAGTCATTAGTCACCTGTGGATGACTAAGGGATACAGATTCAGAATTTCTAGGGATGGAGCCCAAGAATCTGCATTTAAAGTAATATCCTAAGTTCAGTCATTTAGCAGATACTTAACTGTCTGCTGTCTGCCCAGGATGATGCTAGTCAGTGGGCATGTAAGGTCTGTGGAATTAAACCGAGACCCTGCCCTTGTAGAGCTTCTGAGGTGGGAGTGGGAGGAAGACACTGGCCCTGTGTGGAAAAGAGAGTGTGGAATGTGCTCAGAAGTGGAAGTGCGGAAACCAAATTAGGAGTGTACTTTAGTAGTCCAGGCATGAGAAGTAGAGGCTTGGATTGAAGAGTGGAGTAGAGGTTGTCAGAAGCATACTTAGGATATGTGATTTGAAGGTAAAGTTAATAGGACTCATTGCTGGTTGGACATAGGACGTAAAGGAAGGAGGGGAATTGAGGATGACTCTAGTCCAGCCGTGGGCAAACTACGGCCCGCGGGCCGGATCCAGCCCGTTTGAAATGAATAAAACTAAAAAAAAAAAAGACCGTACCCTTTTATGTAATGATGTTTACTTTGAATTTATATTAGTCCACACAAACACTCCATCCTTGCTTTTGTTCCGGCCCTCTGGTCCAGTTTAAGAACCCATTGTGGCCCTCGAGTCAAAAAGTTTGCCCACCCCTGCTCTAGTCACTAATTGTGACCTAAGAAACTGGATTCATGGTGGTGATGTTTATTGATATGAGCAAGATTGGGGAAGGGCTAGATTTTGGGTGTTGTGTGTGGTAATTGAGAGGTTTGGGACATGTTAAATTAAAGTTGCTTATTAAATACTAGAGGCCCTGTGCATGAAATTCGTGCACTGCGGGGGGGGGGGGGATGTCCCTCAGCCCAGCCTGCACCCTCTCCAATCTGGGACCCCTCAGGGATCGGGCCTAAATCAGCAGTCAGACATCCCTCTCACAATCTGGGACTGCTGGCTCCCAACCGCTTGCCTGCCTGCCAGCCTAATCACCCCCTAATCACTCCCCTGCCAGCCTGATTGCCCCCTAACCGCTCCTCTGCCAGCCTGATCCACGCCTAACTGCTCCTCTGCTGGCCTGATCGCCCACAACTGCCCTCCTCTGCCGTGATTTGCCCCCTCCACCGGGCCCCGCCTCTGCTATGCACACGGCCATCTTGTGATGGCCATCTTGTGACGACGTTAGGGCGTGATGCGTGAGGGTGTGACGACCCAGGGGTCCTCAAACTTTTTAAACGGGGCCAGTTCACTGTCCCTCAGACCGTTGGAGGGCCAGACTATAGTTTAAAAAAAAAACTATGAACAAATTCCTATGCACACTGCACATATCTTATTTTGAAGTACAAAAACAAAATGGGAACAAATACAATATTTGTATTTGCATGTGGCCCGCGGGCCATAGTTTGAGGACCCCTGACCTAGGCTATTAGTATTGATTGTCCACGTGGGAAAGCGCTGTGGTGAGGTGGAAATGTAGAGCACCCATCTCTGTTATCTTTTGCTAAGACTTCAGCGTAGTCTGTCATGGCGGTTAGGATGGCTTTCGAGCAGGTTGGCTCTGGCTCGTATCCCAACTGTGTTACTTTGAGCAGATTACTGTACCTCTCTTTAAGTTTTCTTACCTGTAAAGCAGAGTATTAATGCATGTTCTTCCTGGTTGCCCTTAGTTGCCACGGAATTACTGAAAGGAACCCAGACAAGTAACTCGCTGCTAACAACTACTCAACAGATGTTAGGTCTTTTTACTGGGTAGATTTCTTTTCCTCCTAAGCAATTCCAAGTGCTTATATAAGTAGATTAAGAAGAATTTTTTAAAACTTATATTTGATAAGAATTCAAGACATTATTTAAACCAAGTTTGTCATTAAAGGCTACCAGCCCAGTGTAGGACCAGCAAAATGTGGTGAGGTTTCTGAAAATGGTGAAAGTAACCTGATAGATTTAGAGGCTTCTTTAAAATACTACCAGAACAAATACAGAAAAATAAGAAACCTGTTAAAAACTAAAATGCTTTTAGTTAAAGTTAATTTCAGCATGCCTCCTTGAATTTGAAGCACTTATATGATTATCCAGAGCATTTTGTACATTTATAAGCTTTACTTTTTTTTTTTAATTTTTATTGAATTTATTGGGGTAACATTGGTTAATAAAATTATGTAGGTTTCAGGTGTACAATTCTATAATACATCATCTGTATATTTTATTGTGTGTTTTCCACCCAAAGTCTTTCCTTGGTCACCATTTATCCTCCCTCCCTTTACCCTCTCCCATCTCCCCACATTCCCCCTTTCCCTTGGCAATCACCATAGTGTTGTCTGTGTTTGTTGTTGTTGTTGTTTTTGTTTAATCCCTTTCCCTTTTTCACCTAGCCCTGCCTGGCTCTCCCATCTGACAGCTGTCAGTTTCTATCTGAGTCTGTTTCTATTTTGTTTATTAGTTTATTTTGTTCTTTGGATTCCACATATGAATGAAATCACATGGTATTTGTCTTTCTCTGACTGGCTTATTTCACTGAGCATGGTGTTCTCTGGGTCCATCCATGCTCTCAGACAGTGTTCAGGATCTGGTGTTCCTTGGAATGCCTGTTATGTGTACCGCACATTCACTGGCAGCCGTGGTAACTACTATGCAACATTTATTTATTTTTCCTTACACTTATAGAATTCTATATTTAAAATATTTACTTCTCCAGTTATAGTATTTTAAATTGGTAAAATTTCTTTTCTTTTCTTTTTTCTTTAACCATGAAGGGTGTTTATTTAAAAAAAAAAAAAAAAGAGCATCCTCCTGATGTGCAATGATTCTCTCTCCCTCGCTTTCTAAAATCAATTTGTAAAAGTTAAAAAACAAACAAACAAAAAACCAGTTGTATAGAGTTATACTGCATAGGGCCTAAACATGCTTGCTCCTTTCGGAAGTACTGACTTGGGTTCTTTCCCTAAAATTTCTTAATTTATCACATTTCCCCCCATTTCTTTTTAGAGAGAGTGGAAAGGAAGGTGGGAGGAGGAGAGAGAAAGAGAGAAACATCAATTGGCCGCCTTTGCAGGAGCCCTAACTGGGGCCAGGATTGAACCTGCAACCCAGGTCTGTGCCCTTGACTGGGAATCGAACCCAAAACCTGTGTACAGGCCAATGCTCCAACTACTGAGCCACACCGGCCAGGGCAATTTATCACATTTTTTTTGGACAGTCCTTGCTTTGCTCGGTTAAATTTGGCTCTACATCCTGACAATTTCTGTCATTAAATGAACATTTACGAACACACTGAAATGTCTAGAGAGCTCTGCTGCAGAATGGGGTTACAAATATAAAGATGGTCTGTCTGTTAGAGGAGAGGCAGGTGGCTATTAATGACAGGGAAGAGGTGTGAACACAATGCCATGGGAGTGCTTGGAAGGGGCAGCTAGTTCCAAATGGGAAGATCAGAGAAGACTTTAGAGTGGAAGTTGCATTTGAATTTGGCCTTAAGGAAGAGCTGGGTAGAGGAGGCGGCAATAGCATCGGAAGCAGAGGAGGTGCAAGCTGAGGAGGTGCGGCAAATTAAAGCATGAAGCGTGTAGCATGCTTTGGGGTGAATAGGCCGGTATGGCTGGGACCTAAGGGGGTTTGGGTTTGTTTGGAAGAAATGAATCTGGAAAGGTGGAATTAGGTCACATTGTGAAGTTCCTTAAGTGCTCTCTGAGGAGGTGGGACTTCATTCTGTAGATAAACTCTAATGCAGAGGAAAAGGTAGTGAGCTCTGTGGTTTTGGTGAAAACTCTTAGGAGTGGCAAGAAGAACTAAGTTCAAGAAAGGAGAACTAAAAATGCAGAGATCAATTAGGATATTATTGCAGTAGTGAAGACAGAAAATCACAGAGATCAAGTTGGCCTGTAATAGGAAAACTGTAGAAATCAAAAGAAGACTAGATTTAGATGATGTTTTAGGTTCACAGGCCTTGGTGATCAGATATGGAGATAAGAACAAGGGAAGAGTCAGAGATGACGTCAGGACTTGGAGGTCTCCAGACACAGTAATGCCAATTAACAAATTTTGAAAGGAATTCCTTTGAGGTAAAATGCGAGTACTTACTGTGAAGGATTTGATAAAGCAGTTTTCAAACTCTTAGTGCTCTGTTGGCTGTAGCACTGTGGCTTTGTATGTTTCCTGCTATGGGAAATCTCATGTTTTGGGTTGCTGTATATGGGAGGATATTGGCACATGTTATAGTTATGAGACTTCACCTGAGATATTTGAATTTTTGCAAGTTTATTCACATTTTTAACCTGAGATTACTATAAAAACTTTTTAGTCTTCAAGAGACCTATGAAGCCAAAAGACACGAAATTTATGGGGAACGTCAGAGGAAGGAAGATGAAATGAAGCAGATGTTTGTGCAGCGGGTGAAGGAGAAAGAAGCCATACTAAAAGAAGCTGAAAGAGAGGCAAGTACACTAGTTTGTTGGGATTTGCATTTTTTTAGGTGTCCTATTAATTTGGGGGATTTATCTCAATTTAGTTGAGATGCATTTGGAGACTACTTGTTATTCTTTAAAAACTAGCTATTTTATACACCTAGTCTTTTAAAAAATTGTAGTCTGAAATCAATTTTGGCCATTATGAGCAAATGGTCATCCTTTAGAAGTGGCTTATCAAGAACTTGTAATGCACCAGTTTACTAAGAAGTATTTTAAGTATCTTAACCAGGAGCCAGAAATGTTGTAGCTCTGGCTTGCTAAAGCCCTTTTTGAGAATTTAGGTGACGTTTGGTCTAAATGACCTTTGGCACAGCTAAACATCAGCAGTGAATTCCTTTAGTTCTGTTTGCTTCTCATTCTTCAAGCAACAATTTTAATTTTATTTGTTAAGCTATTTTCTATAGATCTGTAGACCTAATTGCAATGGCTACTTTTAAGTAAATGGCTGCATTTTCAAATGAGGCTCAAAAAGGGTGAGCTGCAAAAAAATTTCTAGAAGACAGAAATGTTAATACAAGTGAACTTGATAACACAAGAGTCCCTGAAGAGTTATTTGTAATTAATTTTACAAATTTATTATGTCAAGTACACTTACAGTACTTGGTATTTAAATAGTAAATGGTTTGGTAAAATAATCTAATATATCCTACTTATAATTTGAATTTTGGTCTTTTGAAAAATTTCAGATAATAGAAAAGGGAATCCAGAGTACACCCGTGTCCCTCCCACACCTAGATTTAGTAGGGAACATTTTGCCATTTTTATTTTACATGTGCGTATGTTGCGCATGTGTGTGTATGCGGGTATATGTGTGTATGTACATGCATGTGTATTTTTCCCGGTCATCTGAACGCTGGTTGAGACATCATGGCACTTTATCTCTAGACACACCAGTGTGCATCTCTAAAGGTTAGGTGTATTTTTCTTCATAACCATAGTACCAATTTACACCTAAGAATATTAATAGGAATGCCATAATCTCGCCTAATTGCTAATCCATATTCAAATTTCCCCAGTTGTCTCAAGATTGTCTATTATTATTTCTTTTTGTTTGGTGATTTTTGTTTTTGAACCAGAATTAAATCACAGGTCTTATTGCATTTGGGTGTTCTGTTTCTTTAGTTTTTTGTTCTCTTTTAAACTAGTCCCTACTTTGTAGCTATTTTTAAATACAAATATTGAGGAGGAAGGAGTTGTGATGAGTAGGAAATAAGGATGCTGGTTTTTCTTTTAATCAGTGGATTAGTCTTTAAGGTGGTAGTGGAGTGAAATTCTTCCAAGAGTTTCTCATAGATCAGGATTCCTTGTCTCTCCAGTGAGGAGAAAAGTTGTAGAAGTGGTGTATAGATAAGTTTTAATTTTTAAAATTCCACATAATATTTTGCTTAAATGTTTATTATTTAAAAGGATGTTAAAAAAATTCAGGTGACTAAATGATTGAAAGAAAAAGAGGAATACTATTTGTTAGTAGGTGCTTTGTAGAGTTTTATTTTTATGATTCAAATGCTTAAGAGTATGTATTAAACAAACGAAGTTAATTTGAAACTAAAGCACCAACAATCAGTTGTCACAGGAGTTCTAAACTTTTAATTATGTAGTTTTAATTATGTAGTAGATTACTGGCCTGCTTGTTTCATGACCACTTTTCATGCTGTTAAGCCACTGTTGTTGATACTTGACAGAGTTACGGTCAGTTTGCTGAAGAAGGGCGTCTAGTCAATCATCATTACTCCGTGAGACTAGAATCATCTACTCCAGGGCTGAGGAAGACAGGATACGTTATTGCCTTAATTACGATGGTTTTAGAGGGAAAGGAGGCTTATTAATAATTACACTGGGGCAATAAGTAGGTGTAAACCAAGTCTTTTCAGGGTAAACTGGGATATTTGATCCTAATACTTGACTGCCAACATTTTAAAGTTAGTTATGTCAATAAGATACTGGCAGTCACCAACAAAAAGATAATTTTGGTAACCCAAAACAGTACTTAATTCCATATTAGGAGACCTTGTTATTTAAAATATCCTTGCCAATGTTATAAAACAAATACCTCTTACTTTATATTTTGTATAAAAATGGATTTTATTATATAGTTAATTGAAAATGTTGTGAACATTAAATAGACAACTAGAGTAGGGAGATGCACAGAACAAATGTTATCTCAAGATACTGTCTGAATATTGTATTTCTTACATCTTTATTACATCATTCTGAATGTACTAATGAGGCATGTTATGTATTATACGCAGATTTCCCATTCCTTTTCCGCTACTACAAGAAAAGTACAGTTTTTATTTATCCCTCCAATAAAGCACATAACCATCATTACATCATTACTACTTCCCCATTTTATATATGTCTACTCTGTCGTTAATATTTCATTTAATTTAGGCCTTATTTTCAAAAGTCTTCTATATGATTTCCAGTAAAAATACAGCTGCATTATAATCCTGAACATGAGAATACAGGAAGAAGACTTATAATACAGGGCAGGAAGGAAGGGTTCACCATAGGTGCAGCCAAGAACTGAGGCCCAAGGTGACTTCTCAGTGAGCACAGGCAGCTCACCTTCCAGGCAGTCATGGCAAAAAGGCCACTGGGAGGCACAAAACTCACAGTAAAGATAATCTAGTTCAGTGATGGCAAACCTTTTGAGCTCGGCATGTCAGCATTTTAAAAAACCCTAACTTAACTCTGCTGCCGTGTCACATATAGAAATTTTTTTATATTTGCAACCATAGTAAAACAAAGATGTATATTTTTGATATTTATTTTATATATTTAAATGCCATTTAACAAAGACAAATCAACCAAAAAATGAGTTCGCGTGTCACCTCTGACACGCGTGTCATAGTTCAATCAAAGAGGAATGCTGTCTTTAGCATTTGTTTCTAAAAATTGGTAAGTTTAAAAGGAACATTGAACATCAGAATGTATGACATTCTTAGAAATAATGTTGACAAAAGATACAGCAATGTACCATATTGGTGATAGTCTTAAGAGCATTGGTGAGTAGTTATCAGGAGCACAAAAGGTATACTGTTTTTAACTTTTTTGATTAGTATTTGAAAATACGTTTGAATAAATGCCTGTTGCAGTGACTAATGGAACCATGAGTGAGTGCTTCATGTACATGGAATAGATTGTTGCTATCAAAACTGTGAATGCCACATAATATGAATAATGTTCCCATTCACACCTTTCCCACTCCCCCTTTTAAAACATTTTTCTTGTTACAGTTTTCCTGGAATTTTTATCAACCTCAGGAATGAAATATATGAAGCACTCTATATATAAACCTTTAAAGATATTTATGTAGGTTTATAAAGAACCCATTTAAGTAATCAGTTCTCTGTCTCTATTCACAATAATGCAGATCTGCCCCTGTAGCTTCAGTTTCTGTTTCAGCCTCCACGCCGCTCCTCTCCCATATTTACAAGGGACGCACATGTGCTCAGAGAGCTGTAGACTTTATACCACTGATGGGAGTGACAGCTGGAAGAGTCCCGCCCTGTAAACACATGTGCACTCACACACACACCTTTTTATAGAAGCAGGAACCATTTAATAAGCCAGCACCAAGTACTGTGCTTCTCTGAAATGGCCCCCTCAGAAAGGATCTGAGGCAGCAGGTCACTCACCTATTTCAGCTTCTCCCACCTTAGTCTCAGGCCTCCGTCGGGTTTTCTGGCTCAGGACACACTGCTCCATATTTGGGAAATTTACTGTTTATTAGGGTGGGGTTTAGCTCTCTCCAGTTTCTACCCTCAGCCTCTGGTTGCTAGTAGCGTATTTCTATTTCCTCAGCTATTATATGCCATCTTTCTGGAAGCCAAGTTTTACTTTTCATTGAATGCTAGATTGCTGCCTAAAACTAAAAAGACTAATTTAACATTTGTTTAACCAGGCTAGGAGATCAGAAAAGAAAAGGTATCTTTTTTTTTTTTTAAATCAAGATGTAAAATGTTGTGCTTATATACACGGCACACAGCGGATTCATATGGAGTCCACTGAAGTGCCCAGATTTGTTTTCAGATTAACACCAATTAACCAGGGAAACCTCATGTTATAATGTTATAAACTTTTGTAAAACTCGTTTTCATGGCTGCATTGAGTTATTCAACATAAATTTATGGTTTTACTTTATTTCTATTAGACACAGACTATGTTTTTCCATTATGGGGTACATACTACAGTGAGTATTATTTCTCTGAATTTAGGGTTTTTTGATTTAGTTTAAATTTCAAGAAAGTCAATGACTGTGAAAAAATAGAATCAAGTTTTAAGGTTCTTGATTTTAATTGATAATTGACACTTAACTTCCCAAACAGATTTTTCAGTATAACTTTTAACAGCTTTCTCACTACAAATGATAACTTAATTTGGAAAATAAGGGTTTCTTTTTCCTTTTTTGTAACTTGCTTCTGTAATTTGTGTTCTTTACCTTTATTAAGCATGAATTTTAGAAAATCTAATTGAAGAGGCTTTGTGGAGAAACTAGAGCAAGAAAATAAAAACTTCAAGGAAAGGTCATGTTTTAAAAACAGGTTTGTTCCTGGGGCTATGGTTTTTCATTATATTTTGTTCATGCATTTTTTTTTGCTTGGGAACTTATTTAAAATTGAAGTTGCTAAGGCAAATTCATAATTAAATTTTTTCTGAAGCATGAACTTGAGCCACCAGGTAGCTTGTGCAGATGCTGTGTTCGTTAGCGTGAATTAGCAGTGTGCTTTAGGCAGGAGGACACCCCTGCGCAGCTGCTGGCTTGTGCAGATGTTGTGTCCATTAGCATGAATTAACAGTGTGCTTTAGGCAGGAGGACACCCCTGCGCAGCTGCTGGCTTGTGCAGATGTTGTGTCCATTAGAGTGAATTAGCAGTGTGCTCTGGGCAGGAGAACAGCCCTGCCCAGCTGCTGGCTTGTGCTGATGTTGTGTCCATTAGCGTGAATTAGCAGTGTGCTCTGGGCAGGAGAACAGCCCTGCCCATCTGCTGGCTTGTGCAGATGTTGTGTCCATTAGCATGAATTAGCAGTGTGTTCTAAGCAGGAGGACACCCCTGCTCGGCTGCTAGCTTGTGCAGATGTTGTGTTCATTAGCATGAATTAGCAGTATGCTCTAAGCGGGAGGACACCCCTGCCCAGCTGCAGCCATTCTGTTTCACTGCTAAAAGCTGCACCTTGTTTACCAGCTGCAGGCCAAATTCGAGCACCTCAAAAGAGTTCACCAAGAAGAGAGAATGAAGCTTGAGGAGAAGAGAAGACTTTTGGAAGAAGAAATAATCTCTTTCTCTAAAAAGAAAGCTACCTCCGAGATATACCAGAACCAGACCTTTATGGGCAGCAACCTGAAGAAGGACAAAGACCGTAAGAAGTAAGCCATTTCCAACCACCCACCTCGGGTAGCCTCGCCCCTTCCCTCTCCCTCTCATTGCCCTCTTTGATCTTTATTGTGCTTCTGTCTGTTTCCTTTTCCTTGTCTGCCTCCTGCGGTCAGCTTGTTGTTCACTGCTGCTTCCCTAGCATCTACAATAGCACCTGGCACATAGTAGGTGCTCATTAAATATTTGGCAAAATGAAAGAATGAATGAAATAAAAATACATCACAATGTAAAATACATCAATTACCTGGGGGGGAAAGTCGGCTGCTCTTATTTTATAGCCAAGCCTGTGGCTCTAATACACTGCTGACCTACCATTAGTTACGTTGAATTTCTTATCTAATTGGAAGCTGTATGCTTTCTTGTGGAATCATAGGTGTCAAATAATATTTGATTTTAAAATACTAATTCTTAGGTTCACTTTATTTTAATAAATACTACTGATAATGATTTTGTGAGAATTTTTATTTTAATAAGGGAACCAGGCTATCGATGTGAACTCCTGTGCTTTGATGTCAGAGCTTATGAAACCAATGGTGGACGCAATGATGCAGAGGAAGGTAGAGAGGGTCCCAGTACAATGGGGCGGCATGAGTAGCATTTGGATGATATTCTCAAAGCTTATAGGTTGGGGTATGTGTCACAATTGAAATTACCAAAGTTTTAGAAAATAAGGTTTTATTCCTCTTTTGTACTTTGTGTCCTTCATTTTATTTCTCCCACTTAATATGTCCTTGTCAGTTTGCCTGTTTGTGCTGTTGCGAATTCTCCATTGTGGTCTTTGCCTCGGTTTCTCCAGTTGTCACTGCTCTAGCAGCATATGTTCTCCTTATGTCCTTACAGAGCAACCCTTCCATTGTTGATTTCAAAACCAGGCCTGATTTCAAACCCAGCATTTTCAGATCATTGTAACTCCACTTGAGAATAGTTAGGAAAACGATGCTAATCCATGGTAGCTTTCTATTTTTGAACCGTGGAGAAGTAAATCCACAGGGTTTTGGTATATTTAATTGACCTGTGGATTTTATAGCTTTGGGGAAAGAAAGAAGAATTCTCACGTATGAACTTTTAACATTGGCTCCATGAGGGCATGGATCTATTTTGTTCATGGATGTATCCATCCCCAGAGCCTAGCACAGTGCCTGGTCCATATGATGAATAATAGCTATGTTTATTCAAGCACTGAATTTTAAAATATAAACTATAAATATAATTATTGCTTTTTATTACAAAGCTATGGGACCTTTTACTTTATCTTTTTATCTTAATCCAGTGTTACTAAAATTGGATTCCCCCATATTTATTTCATATATGAAAGACGTTTTACACTTACCTTGTGGAAATTATCACCCTGCTCCACTTGAGAATCGTTGGTATGAGCTGTTGATGACAAAATCAGGTCCAAGCCCATAGTTTCAGAATTCGTCCTCAAGAAAATAGATTTTGGTGGGGTTTTTTTCTCTTTCTTTCCAAAGTTCCATAACTAGATATCCTATAGACATTAGATGTATATTTGCTCTTTCTGGGAAAGCTTTGTAAAACCATTGATTCTAATAATTTTTATTTCTTAGTTGATTTTATATTGTACCAATCAAAATTTTTTCTCTCTCTTTTTTCAGCTCCAATTTTATGTAAAACAAAGGTTCCAGATCACAGAAGGTCATCACAAGCAAAAGTTATTAAAAAGTTAGAAATATGCTGTGATTTTCTTGCTCATTTTATTTGCTGTATCAGTTATTTTGTATCTGGCAAATGGCCACAGTTACTGTCTTTTATGGAAAAATACTTTCAAGTATAAGGTCAATACATAAACCAGAGTGGGTGATAAGAATTTATGCGTCCACTACTGTGAAGTTTTAAGCTGCTGGTTTGTGATGGATCGAGATCATTGCCTCTACTGCCGACTTACTGTCACTTTGCAGAGCGCCACCACAGAGCCGTGCCACTGCCTTTGACAGCAGAGCTCGCTCACATCAGGCTGATTGCATTTACGTTCTAAGATGAACCTTTTGTTTTGTGCACACTAAAGGTAAAATTTTGAGAATATGTTTTAAAATGTATTATGTACCTAAAACTCTAACCTCTCAATAGTTTTATAGAACTTTTTAATTTTTGATATGATTATCCAGTTAGTAACATGATCCTAAGCTTTTGTATAAAATGTTATATAATATGATGGTCTTCCATGCTTCAGTACACTTTATGGTGGCTGATGTATGATGATGAAAAAAAAAAGTTTAAAAGTAAAAACACCCACGTATATATACCCTTTTTCTAGTGAAAAGTACTTTTGAATTGGTGTTATCACAGTATTTTTATTAGGATGTATTACATATTTGTTGCTTAAAACTGTCTTCCAAGGGAAAAATAAGATTGAATTACCTTACTAAAAATATTTCTAAGAAAATAGCTATGAGCATCTGAATATTAAAGATATAAACATTTAGATAATTCATATCAGTGCCTTAGTAGTAGTCTCAGAACAATTAACTTTTTCTTAACAGTCATAGGTATATAATTTTTTTATTTTTTGTACCTAAATATTCTAAATAAAACTGACATTTACTCTTGACAAATAAAATATATCTGCATATTTACTAAAATGTGTTTACATTAATTTTTCTGTTTACAAACTGTCATCATAAGAAACATTTTATCAAAGTTCATTTAATTGTATGTCTGAACTATTTTAAAACAAGCATATTACCAGTATTTTTCAGACAACAAAATGTTTAAGTTAGCCTATGTTAGATTCTGAACAGTGCTTTTTTTATGAAGTTGTATAAGTTGCAAATAAAACCTTTCATTTTTTAGCACAATTTATCTGGACAAATACTTTACTTTCCATTTTTATATTTGAAATTCACAAATATCTCTCAGCCTTTTTCAACTGTAGTAAAGTAAGTATCACAGAAAAAGCTCTGAACTTCTTCTCAGGATAAGTAATGTTCAAGTTCTGGAAGGTGAGAGCAGGAGAGGCGGGGGCGTCCCTGCAGGCAGGTGACCTGTTGTACAGAGCCCAGCCAATGCCACAGCACCCAGTGTGAGCAAAGGAGAATGTATCCCCGAAGCTCAGGGATGTGGTGTGCATGCTGGTTATTAGTAGTCATATCATATTAAACTGTATGAAACAGCTGTCCTAAACTCTGTTTAAGTTCTTTTTAAATTCCAGATTGGAGGTTGACATGTTCGAAGTCATTTGAGTTTCCAGTTAAAAAGGTTGTAGAAAGCTGCCTGAGATTCTCACTTAGAAGGGGGCTCACTCAAGCCTCACTGTCAAGAAGATGTGTGCTCACACCATGTGAATGTTAAGGTAGTCCATCCATTTGGGATTCTGTATACGACTTTATTTTAAAAGAGTTAACACTACAGCCCTAGCTGGTTTGGCTCAGGGGATAGAGCATTAGCTGCGGACTGAAGGGTCCCAGGTTGATCAAGGGCACATGCTCCAGTTACAGGCTTGATCCCCAATAGGGGTGTGCAGGAGGCAGCTGATCAATGATTCTCTCTCATCATTGGTGTTTCTATCTCACTTTCCCTCTCCCTTCCTCTCTGAAATCTATTAAAAATCCTATATAATAAAAGGCTAATATGCAAATAGACCAAACAGCAGAATGACCGGTCACTGTGACACACACTGACCACCAGGGGGCAAACGCTCAATGCAGGAGCTTCCCTCTGGTGGTCAGTGTGCTCCCACAGGGAGAGCACCGCTCAGCCAAAAGCTGGGCTCTGGCAAGCACAGTGGCAGTGGTGGGAGCCTCTCATGCCTCCATGGCAGTGCTCAGGATGTCTGACTGCTGGCTTAGTCCCGCTCCCCAGCGGGCCTAAGCCGGCAGCTGGACATCACCCAAAGGCTCCCGGACTGCAAGAGGGCGCAGGTCAGGCTGAGGGGCACCCCCGAATGCATTATAATAAAGAGGGAATATGCTAATTGACTCTCATGCCATCGCAAAGATGGTGACAACCACAACCAGTAAGGAGGGAATATGCTAATTGACTGCCACGCCCTCAAAGATGGCAGTGCCCACAGCCACAAGATGGCGGCACCTAGTCCCCTCAGCCCTGCAGCTGCCCAGGGCCGGCCCAAGTCAGGCAAGCCTCAGATGCTAGTTGCCCAGCCACCCAGGGCCAGCCCAAGGGACAACCAAACGACTGAACAAGTAGGCTGCATGGGGCGACCAGGCTGGCAGGGGGGGTTAGTGAGAGACGACCAAATGACTGAACAAGCAGGCTATGTGGGGCAACCAGGCCGGCGGGGGGTTAGTGAGGGATGACGAAACGACTGAACAAGTAGGCTGCATGGGGCAACCAGGCCAGCAGGGGGGGCAGATGGGGGTGATTAGGCTGGCAGGGGGGCAGTGAGGGGTGACTAGGCCAGCAGGAGGGCAGTTGGGGGCGACCAGGCTGGCAGGGGGGGCAGTTAGGGGCAACCAGGCCAGCAGAGGGGGGTAGTGGGGGGCGACCAGGGCAGCACGCAGAGTGGGAGATCAGGCCGGCGGGGGGGGAGGGCGCAGTTAGGGGTGACCAGGCTGGCAGGGAGGGGGCAGTTGGGGGCAACCTGGCCGGCAGCAGGGAGCAGTTAGGGGCGACCAGGCTGGCAGGGGGTCAGTTAGGGGTGATCAGGCCCGCACGCAGAGGCAGTGAGGGATGATCAGGCTGGTGGGGGCGGGGGGGCAGTTAGGGGCGACCAGGCAGGCAAGCAAGTGAGTGATTAGGAGCCAGTAGTCCAGGATTATGAGAGGGATGTCGACTGCTGGTTTAGGACCAATCCCACATGGATCCGGCCTAAACCAGCAATTGGACATTCCCCAAGGGGTCCCGGATTGGAGAGGGTGCAGGCTGGGCTGAGGGGCCCCCCCCGTGCATGAATTTTGTGCACTGGGCCTCCTATATGATAAAGAGGTAATATGCAAATTGACCCTCTGTCAAGCCATCACAAGATAGCTGCACCCACAGCGGAGGCAGGGTTCCCGTAACACAAGATGGTTGTACCCACATCGGAGGTGAGGTTCCTGTAATGAGCCACAACAAGCAATCAACAGGGACCTGAGGCTGCGTGGCACTGGGGTGGGGGTCCTGAGTCGGCGCCCCCCTGCCTGGCACCTGGCTGGGGGACCTCAGGCCACGACCCCCGCCCCGACGCAGGGTCAGGGGGACTGCGGGTGCGCCAGGGGACATGAAGCTGTGTCCCCCTGCCCCAGCACCCCAGCTGGGGGACTGAGGCTGTACCCCCTGTCTGGTGCCAGGGTCAGGGACCTGAGGCTGTGTCCCTGCCAGCACCAGCTGGGGACCTGAGGCTGTACCCCCTGCCTGGCACTGGGTCTGGGGACCTGAGGCTGTGCCCCCGCCCAGCGGGCTTGACGGGGGTGGGACCGGCCAGGTCT